GAAGTTTTGTATTGTAGACTCAAATTAAATGTTACAGAAATGTCTTATGCTCAGCCCTTTATTCTGCAAACTTGGACATCTTGATCACATTGATCAAGAATCAGAATAGAGCTGGAAGGGACCTTGGAGGTCTTCTAGTCCATCCCCTTGCTCATGCAGGAGATCCTATACCATTTCAGACAAGTGACTGTTCAGTCTCTTCTTAAAAACCTCCAGTGATGAAATACCCACCATGTCTGAAGGCAAGCTGTTCCATTGGTTAATTGTCCTCACTGTTAGAAAGTTTCTCCTCAGTTCCAGGTTGTTTCTCTCCTTGATTAGTTTCCATCCATTGTTTCTTGTCCTGCCCTATGGTGCTTTGGAAAATAAATTGACCCGCTCCTCTTTGTGGTAGTCCCTCAAATACTGGAATACTGCTATCATGCCTGTCCACCCCCCCCCCCAATCCTTCTTTTCTTTAGACTAGCCCAAATCCAAATCCTTCAACCATTCTTCATATGTTTTAGTCTCCAGGCCTTTAATCATCTTAGTTGCTCTTCTTTGCACTTTTTCCAATGGTGAAGAGTACAAGTAAGCCTACAATGGCAGAGAAGAAAGTTCTATATTTTCTGTAATGGTGTGAATAAGTGCATGATTATATCTAAGAATATACTCTAATTCAAATGCCTCAATTTTAGATTATTATTTTTTTCAATAAGAATCTTTGGTTAATAAGTAAGTTGAATCCCACCAAAGGCCACCTAAATACATCTGAGGAAGGTTTCATGACTGTGGATTTTACTGATATCAATCAACTTTATTACCATGTAAGGATAGTTAGGAAAGCAATCTGTGTTGCGGACAAGCAAATGCATCTACATATTTTGTCATCAATTTTATAGCATGTCATATATTATTTTAAAAAACAGACCATAAAAAAGGCTGCTTCAGGAATCCAGCAGTTTATATGTTACTATGCACTAAACTGCCTTTAATATTTGAGAATACTGCATCTTGCATCTTGATGCAAGCACTATTAAAAGATCCCATGCAAAGAGAGATGGGGGTAGGGATGAAGGAGAAAATTTTCTGTAATTAAGCCGGCAATATATAAACTGCAATTTCTGCATTCTTGTTAGTACCTTGCAAACCCAATGAGTGAAAAGGGAGCTAACTGAAACTGAAATGGATTGTCCTTTCTTCCAACCTAAGCAATGAGAAGATTTCACTGCCTGCCAGTCACAGCTCTAGGAAGCTCATCTTCTTTCAAAGCATTTCAATTTTTCAAGCTGTTGGAGGGATTGCTATAGATCTTGGGGCCATATGCCTGAAAGCAAGATCATAATTCAGCAGTAGGAGGCCTGCTTATCTCACTCAGCAGTGAGCTGGCAGAAGACAAGAATCCAAGCTTTGTTTATGAAGGCAATAAATAGCATGCCTGTTTTGTGGCCTAAATGGTTTTTAAAGCCCATTGGCCAGGGAAAGTATGAGCTTGTGTGCATGCACAAATAGGACATTTACCATAGCTACCTTTTTAAAAGCAACACCTTTTGTCCCCCTTTCCCCAAAAATATCCACCACCCATTTTTGCTATTACAGTTTCTTGATCTCTTGGTTAAATTGTGCTTTTTTTACAGGACCATTGTCATTCAAGAAATGCCACTCTGTCATTCTAGCGGAAAAAGTAGAGAATGGAAAAGCAGTGGCATTTCAGTGACTAGGTAGCAGTTGAAAAACATCACAGTTTGTTTAAAACACATTGAGAGTGGTGCATCCACAAGACCAGAAAGATTTAAAACTGCCTATGTAACAATGGACATATACTGTATATCTGTTTCCAGACCCTTTGCACAGTGCCTTTGTCTAGAATATTAGCCTGTGTGACAATAGAGATAGTTATCCAATGCCTGACTTACCTCACCTCATCAGTAAGTATGTTGAAAGAAAATCAAACAAATGAAGTAAATTTGAAGCTTTTCTTTTCATGAATGAAGATCATGAATGAATCATTTCATTCATGAATCATGAATCATTTCATTCATGAATCATGAAGATCATTTTTGAATGAAGATCAAAGCTATTGATCAGTAGAAAAAAATCATTTGGCATGACATTAAGTACATATCAGAAGGATATAGTGTACTTCTGAATTTCATTGGTAGTTTTCATCTAATGAATGTTTTGATGTACCTCCTACATGTTTTCATTGTCAATTGATACAGTGGCCTCCAATTTATCACTACAACAAATACACTATTGCAAGAATGATACAGCAGAGGGTAATTCAAATCCAGAAAAAGCAGTTATGGTTTCTACACTGGTTTTCCTGGAAAATTCATAACATCAGAAGTAACATTACATCACATAAGATAACTGTCTCATCTGGTGCCATATGGCCAACAGGGACAGGAAATACATGGAGTCCTCGACTGACAACAGTTCATTTAGTGACCATTCAAAGTTACAACATCACTGAAAAAAGTGACTTATGATCATTTGTCACAGTTTCAACCATTGCAACATCCCTGTGGTCACATGATCAAAACTTGAGTGCTTGGCAAATGATTCATATTTATGATGGTTGTAGCAGTGGGGGAACCGGTAGTAAAACCGAAGGGAGGCTCCACCCACCAACCCCGACACCATCAGAACACTTCTACACATGCGCAGAAGATCACGTGCAAGCGAAGCAAACGCACGTGCGTGGCCCCGTTGCGAACCGGTAGTAAAGGTGAGTAGAACCCACCCCTGGGTTGTAGCATCCTGGGCTCACGTGATCATCTTTTGCAACCTTCTGACAAGCAAAGTCAATGAGGAAACCAGATTTGCTTAACAATTGAATTACTAACTTAACAACTTTGGTGATTCATTTAACAACTGTGGCAAGAAAGGTCATAAAATGGGGCAAAATTCGCTTAACAAATGTCTCACTTAGCAACGTAAATTTTGGGCTCAATTGTGGTCATAAGTTGAGGACTACCTATACGTGTCTAAAGTTTCAGGCACTTTATTTAGTTTTATCCAAAGGTACCAGCTATTACACTTAGAACATTTCATGCAACAAAACCAATGTTCTCTCATTGAACTAAAGCTGATTTGCAGTTTATCATATTATTTCTTGGAAAGTCCTTTGTGAAATTCTGAGTTTCCTCCTATCCAAACTCTCATCAAATCAATATATTTCAGATTACTGGAACGGTCTGTATAGTAATGGAACTGAGCACAACTCTGGAGAGTCTGAGTGCACAACTACTCTGAAGCCTTGTTCAGCCATTAATTTTAACTTGATATAATAGGATTCTGCCAGGGCAGTTGATAATTGCCAATAACCGATTGTGTCTCATATAAAGTTGCAAGGCAGCTGTTCTTTGAGCTCTTGATATACAGGTTACTTTCATGCAATGGACCTTTTTAATGGTTGTCTTAGTTTTCTTTAATAATATTGGGGCCAAATTATTTAATATATTTTAAATTGTTTTTAAATTTTATGTATATGTGTGTTTTATTGCTGGCTGTGCACCGCCCTGAGTCCCTCGGGAGAAGGGTGGTATAAAAATTTAAATAATAAATAAATAAGTAAGTAAGTAAGTAACTTTAGAAACTCTTATTCATTAATGTCTGGGATAATTCTATGGAGATGCAACCAAGTGTGTGAAAACAAATATATTGAGTTAAAAGGAATATTCAGCTAACAACTAGTGGTTTAAATATTATTAATTTCTTTTTTGTTGAAATTGTAAAAGTAGTTTCTAAGGACAATTTGTATGGGTGCATACTGATTTATAATCCAAGACAAACAGCACAGTTATAAATATTGTTAACTACATATAATTATTGGAGATGTATGCTATTAAATTATATAAGTGAATCAGGAATTTTAGGAAGAAGATGTTACTATTATTTCTATAAAGCAAAAGATAACTATCTACCCATTCACGTAAGATAAACATGTGTGAGGAGTGAGGGAGGGAGAGAGAGTGGGGGAGAGGAGACAGGAAGGGAGGAAGAGAAAAACTTCATAAAGACTCACTAGTAGATGCACTAATTAATTTAGGATAACTTTTTAATATGCTTTAGTAGCAGTTGTAAAGGTGGTTTATAACATATTTAAATCCCAAAACCAGAAAAATCAAAACTACAGCCATCAAGTTTATTATCACTGTAACTTATTTATTTATTTATTTATTTATTTATTTATTTATTTATTTATTTATTTATTTATTTATTTATTTATTTATTTATTTATTATCTGCCCTTTATTATTTTAACAAACTGCTCAAGGTGGTAAACATATCCAATACTTTTTTTTTCTTTCTATTTTCCCCACAACAATCCTATGACATGGGTTGGACTTAGAGAAAGTCACTGGCTCAAAGTCACCCAGGTCACTTTTCACGCCTAAAGTGGTATTAGAACTCATGGTCTTCTAGCTACTAACCTGGTGTTGTAACCACTAAACCAAACTGGCTCTTCTAGTGAGAGAAGTCAACTAAGAGTGAGCAAAGCTTTTGCCATCTTGATGCAACAGTTGTTTAAACAAGTGACTTTTAGGCTCAGAAGAAATAATGACTCATTATATTCAAGGAACTATTGCTCTCCTTTCAATTTAGAAGACGACTAGACAACCCATGACATAGTGGGTCGTCTTTTCAGAAATATTTCTTTACCTAAACCTTTCCTTATTTTACAAGTGGGCAAAAAAGCAGTGGGAGTAGGAATGACTTCAACTTCCTGCTGGCTTCCCCAATGACTTTCTTTGTAGGAAACTGGTAGGGAATGTTGGAAATTATTATCATCTGCATGTGGTTGACCACAGTAATGTGGTATGGCAGCTCTGAAGTAACCACAACTTTGTCAAATTTCAATCCCACAGGAATAATGGGAGCCCAGATTTTGAATGCATGTTGTAAGTTAACCCATTTGAGGTACATTGATTCAAAAATCATTGCCCTTACGATGCATCATTTCATTCAACTGAAGGTTATAAACAATCAAACAGACATAAAACTTTTAGTAGTATATAGATGTCCAGCATGGTTCTATTTAAGAATTCAAATTAGTACAAAGGTCAATCAAGAGTTGCTATTAAAATTGTCTGTTGATATTTTATAATTTCTTTATCATCCTGCTCTTTTTCAGATAATGCTCTGTTATTTTATCAGTGACAGCCAAATATGAACCAAAAAAGTATCCCTGATTATATTGATTGGAAAGGATAAAGATGGTGCCATTGCAGTAAAATTTGGGATGGAAAGGTATGGAAGCCATGAAGTTTGTTTGCTTGATGATTCCTTAATATAAGTAATTCAGTATGTAAAACTTTACTGAAGCAGAAGTCTGGCTCTTCAATTTGATATAGAAATCAAGCATATAAAAAGGAAGTTTTGTTAAAGCACATTCTATAGTCCAGATGTTCAGAACCTTTTAGAATACATTTGGTTGCTGTTGCAGAACACTGTGGCTCTTGACAACATAAAAGATTTACATTAGCTCCACTTAACTTTGTAAACAGATGCTCCATCTTTATAGACCAGTAAAACTTTTTCAGATGTGGTAATCTTGCAGATGGCTGTCATAACTGCTACAATTGAAGAGAAAGATAGTATAATGTAGTTTGGATGAATATAATTAAATTAAAGGAAGTTCATTGTTATTTAATCTGCTTACATGCTGGCAAATTATTTATGTCTGCTCCGGATAGCCCAGCCTAAAAGAACACTGTTGTTATAAAATCTCCCTTTTCATTTTGCTCCAATTTCATAATTGTGATACAATCCCCATATATTTCACATGACCAGACACTTTTTTTATACAAATCAAACAAAAAATGTTAAAACAATGGAATTTGATGTACCTATGTTTCTATGCCGCCTTTTGTTTGCACTGTACGTGCAACATGTTTTTAAAATATGTGAGCCTTTAGCCTAAATAAAATAAGGAAAGCATTAAACATTGTGAGATCCACCTTGGGCTGCCCACTGAAAAATGTGGTCTCTTCTTAAGCAGTTGAGGCTTCACCCAAAACAAAGTCAGCAAAAATCCAACAGCACAGAGCAGCATTGTGGGGCTGAGAGGCCTTTGAAAAAAGCCGGTGTGCTGAATATTAACACTATTTCACACATTCCCAAGATGTATGCAATTACCTCCGGGAGAAGAGCTGGGAATGTGAGGTCTCCAGGGCTTAGATAATGACATAAAGTAAGTGGCAACGATTATCCATGTATTTTTTTTTTTCCCAGAGACATGTTATTTAAAGCCTATCTTAGTTTTCCAGAATGAAAGACAGAGGAATGTCCACTTTATGAAATTGCTATTAATGTATGACCTCAAGTTGAAGACAAGGTTAATTATGGGTTTTTAACAGAAGTTTCATTTTGACTTAATATCAGTGCTGGGCTCTTAAATATTGAAGTAAGTTACATTTTTCAGGGACAATTGCCTTTGAATGAAGAATGGCAGGCTCTGATCTTTACTGACCCTTACAACTCCCACTGGGTAATCCATAGCAACCACGTTTCTAAGGCAACCAAAGAACACGTAGTAGAATAGGATAAAACCATGAAATCTGATGTTATACTTTCTCCAGGATACAAAATGGAAAGTAATCTTTTAAAGTGGACTTATTAAACATTTGACCTATTGGGTAAAAAGGATGAGATGCGGTGTGCGATCTTTTCCATATTGCTCCAAAACAGAAACCTATCTATGGACAACAAATATAGCAACGTGCATTGAAGATTGATCTGGAAGGAGTTTTCAAATATTCCATATCATAACTGCTTATGAATTAAGCTGCTGATAATGCCTTTATCACAATCTTTATTTTTAGACTCTGTACCAAATCATGTTACATCATTTTGGATAGTAATATTACAGTATTATTTCATTTGCTTTAAAACCTGGTAAGTCATCGTTGCACAGCTTTCCTCATTTTTTAAAGGCGTATCTGGACCATTAGCCTACATTCTTTCAGAGAGAAAGAGAGAGAATTTTGACTGACTGATTGATTAATCATAATTTTGCACTTATTAAATACAGCATATTCTGTAAACCGATGAAGTGCCTACCTAGGGATGTGTTATACTCATAGTTACATTCAGTCTTACCTATGCAATTTGTTTCCAGATGTCTTGGGACTACAATTCCCCAAACTACACAGCTGGCCCTGAATATCTTCTGACTTATGTTCAAATATTTGACTTGAGTGAATGTAACTTAAATCCTGAAGCAGTGCATCCTGCACCACGAGCTAATGAGTGTTCCTTTGCTGCATTTAGCTGTGGTGTTCAATATTAACAATGTCATTTTTAATAAACAATTGTTGCTCTATGCTGGCCTATATTTAAAAATGAGATACAGCTCCTGTTAAATATCAAGATACAACATTCTTTCTTCTACAGAGGAGTTTATATTTTTAGGCTGCTTCCAATCTGTTCTGGATTTGATTATTTTATCAACTGAAGAATATCTTTTTGTTTTAATTTACATGTTTCTATTTCAGTTTGCTTTATTTGGCCACCCCTATAAATACTAAAAGAAAAAGGGTAGATGAATCCCTATAAATATTAAAAGAAGATAGGAAGCACTGCATATTTTTAAAAGTGCAACCCTATATGTATTTATTCAGAAAGAAGGATTTCAGTGAAGCTTACTTCAAGTTAGCTAGAAGTACTTTTACAAAGTTGAGAAACACAAATGACCCATGTGCTCTTTCAAATTGAGGATGTAGTACAGTCATTAATATATCCATCTTCAGCTCTTCAACTTTACAGTGTATCAAAACCCATCGTTTAAGACAGCATTTCAAACTGAAATTAAAATGCACCAAATAAGTATGACTATTAGTCCTCTCTTATCAATCTATTGCAAATTTTTGCAATACAAAACCTTGATGTGATGCCATTATAGCCTGACTTTTATGGCTTCGTGTGGGTGGGGAAACTTGACACCCAGTGACATCATGGAATATGGTCTGGATTAGCAGATGTTAACAAAGAATAAAATGTGGGAATTGTGGTTTTCAGGCACAGTCATATGAATCTCACAATGTCTACTTCCAGTTTGATTGAGAAGCGAACTCAAAACCTTCTAGGAGATAGTCATTCAATAATAAGCAGTTACATAGTTATGCATGGAAGTTGTCATTTACTATCACTCTCTTATGGAAGACTCCATTGTGTCATGATGCCCTCTATTGTGCTCCTTATGTGTGATACCTTCAAAACTATTGGATCCTAATTTTTAATAGTAACATTTTCTAAAGGATAATAATGACTGAATCAAAGCACTGTAAGGCATTTAAACACCAACTTAGGTTGGTGTGTGTGCATATATGTGTGTGTAAGGTTGTTACAAACATTAAAACTCCTTGAATATTTGTTCTCTTAAATGAAATTGACTGGAACTATAGGACTGCTATAAATTAATCCAAGTGCTCTTTAAAGATATTTATGAGATATAGAACAGAAGCCCTTATATACTGTCATAGAATAATGATCAGATTATATAGAATCCAGAACCCTGAGTTCTGATTAAAACCATTTGCAGTGGAAAGGGAAACAAGTGAAAATTTAACACATATTTTTCTAACAGTGAAAGCTGGGGGGGGGGGGGGGGTAGCTTTGTTCATTCATTTGAAATCTATTGCATACATTTACATCCTGCTTCTTTGTACTTTGCCCTCAAATTATATTTTTATCATGTATTATTCCCAAATAGCTTTAGAAGAGGGCCTGATGAGTAGCTCTAAGTTACATTTTTTACAAGAAGATTTGTGAGGCAATTACAGTTTGATGGGCTGTCAGATGTGCATAGGCAGTCACATAATTGGCTCTAATTAAAAAAAAGAAAGAAAGAAAAGAAATATATGAATGCAGTTGTACTGGTAGCCAAAGAAAATAAAGGAAAAGGAGAGGAATGGATAAAATCTTACTCGACTGTTTTTTTGCAAAAATCCTGCAGTTTTAAAGAGAAAAAAGCGAAGAAGCCATTTGCCTTACATGAAGAAAATGCCTCCTGTGCAGGTATCCACAGGGTGGATATTTTTATGGAGTCCTGCAGTACCTCAACTTCATCACCATCTGCTCAAGTTCTATCTGATTGTACGAGAAGGGGGAAAATATAAGTATGGCCATTTTTGTGCAAATCTTTTTTGTCCCACCCCCCCTCTACAGAGAGGGGGTGTGGGACAGAGAGAGAGAGAGAGATTAAATAAATCTCTCAAATATTGTGTTCTCTCTCTCTCTCTCTCTCTCTCTCTCTCTCTCTCTCTCTCTCTCTTTCCCTCTCCAGCAAAAAGTGATGGGTTATGATTGAACATTAAAGTTTTAATATATTCTATACTCTGCCATGACAACATAAGCAGAGTGACTATTGATGCCTCCATACTATTTTCTACTCCTCTCTCAGCATAGAGGAAGAAAAAGAGAACGTCCTCATAAAATTAGCACAGTAATTAGAAAGGTAATAGCAACAGCAAAAGACATACAGTCATCTCCTGGAGCATTTTTAATTGCAATAGAAAGCCCATACAACTTTGTAGAAAGTCTCCATTCATTGAGAGAATGTGCGTACTCTTGCTACTCTGCTTCAGAAACAGCAGAAAGACATTGCAAGCTATGTCTTTTAATTTTTTTAAATTATTGGGGTATTTTAATTTGTCTGGGCCAAATAATTTAATTTGATTTTATCGGGTTTTTAAATTTTGTGTATTTATGTATTTTATTGTTGGCTGTTCACCGCCCTGAGTCCTTCGGGATAGGGCGGTATACAAATCAAATAAACTCAAACTCAACTCAACTCAAGAGAGAAGTTGGACCTCACCCGATAAACTTAAGCTAGGAACCTGAAATCTGACTCACTGGGATAATTTGCAGACTCCTTCTGTATTCTGGGAAGTGAGCCTACTACTGCTTCAAAAAATGCAAACTTGATAATTTCATTTCAAAAGGAATGAAATTTCCCTCCCTCCTTGTCTATAGCTTCAGTGTTACTCTACATCTGTGTATCCCAAATAGCCAACACACTTAACCTATTTTTCTTCCTCTTTATCACCATTCCCAATAAAGTAACAATGAAATAAAATTGAAATAAATTTTAGTTATTTAATCTAAATCAGACTTCCTCATTGGTGGGACACAGATAGGAGTCAGAAGGGATAGTAAGATAGACGATTTGAGATTGACGAAGACACATACCATCCATGTGGCTGAGATGGGAATATATATACATAAACATACATACGCATACACATACATAAATGTCCTTCTTAGAAAGCATTGCCTCTTTCTATGATATGACAAATTGTGGTATCAAAGGGCAATAATAATAACAACAGTAAAATAGAACAAAAAGAACTAAAGAAGATAACAAAATACAAAGACCTGCAAATAGAATGGAATGACTCTAGCAAAAGAAAGCAAAAGTTGTACCAATAGCACTTGGTAAAATTTTTAATTTTACAGTTGGTAAAAGTGTAATTCCCAAACAACTGGAGCATCACCTGTCAAGCCACAAGTCAGTTTGTGATGGATGCATTATTTGGTGCCTGACATCACCATCAGTTAATTGCAAAATGCAGATTTACTTGGAGCTTATATCCTGTGATGATACCTCTAACACTATCAAACATCCACATCTGCCTATCCCACGTCCTTGGGAAGAATTTGATAGAAAGATAAAAATGCCAAATCCAGGCTGAATAGCTGACTGATTGTGTGACAAATCATAATAATAATCATAAAAATATCCACCCAATCTTCCTTCCTGCTAGATGTGCTGTACAATTTTTAGACACCATGTCAATGGTCCTGAGAATTTTGAAAGCTATTGTCCAATACATATGGAGGACTGCAGCTTGGTAATGTATTCTGAGTATAATTTGGCTTTTCTTGCCAGTTTAAGGATTTTTTAAAAAAAAATCAATATACAAATGCCACATACAGAAACTACTGTGAACAACCCTTTATGGTTATATTTGTTGAGAAATAGGTTTTAGTAAAAGCTTTTTAATTTGCCTTGTTCAAATACAAACAAATACCCCAACTGGAAGATAACTTGATGACTACATTTTTAATATAACATTCTGAAAAGTACAGATGTTTTCTGCACAAATTTGGGTAGGCTTGGTCAGGCTATTCAGACCAAGGCCCTCCTCAAAACTAGACAGATAACAAGCCATTTCACAGGCTGGAATGTTTTTCCCCAAAAAACATTTCATAGTGTAATGAAATAGAGCAGGGGCAGGTTCCAAATCCCATCGCTACCAGCTTGCTCGTGCGCCGTTACCAGTTCATCCAATCCAGTGTGAACCAGTAGCACTGTATTAGAGCCTTTTGAGCCCTGTTGTGTATGTGTGTGTTTATATATATATATATCTATATCTGTAAGGATTTTTAGAAGATTTTAAGCTGGGATTTTAACCAGGATTTTAAATATTTTAACCAATTTATTTATAATGACGCGGGAAAACACCCGAGATTTTAATTT